TACCATTTTTTTGAAATTTTTGAATTTAAACACTCGATTTACAGTAAGGTATGTAGGGTCTAATTAATGCAATGAAAGTTGGTTATGGCATGTTGGTAGCAACCTAGTTCCTGTTTTGAGAGGTCTCTGGTTTGAATATTCGTTCATTTTCTTATTTGAATTCAAAATTCAACTATAAAATTCGCTCGAAATATTCTCGGTATTTGTCGGTATTTCTCGGTAACCATGGTAACCACATTTATCAGCCCCCCTCGGTAAAATTACCTCATTCGGTAACCAAAACCTTGATTGGTATTGTCTCAGATCCAGTGGTTCTTTTGGCGCTGAAGAGGCAACCACTATACTGTATACACGCAGGCACGCAGCATAGCTCTCTTACCTCTGGAAACAACTAAGGTTGGACTAGACATCCTTCCTACCTAGCTAACAGAGGTCCCCTTCGATCCCGAGCCAAGAGACGCACCACCATAGCAGCAAATTAAGCAACACAGAGAGTAGTGTGATGGAGCCACACGGATCCATCAACATGACAGCTGCCATGGAGGCTCTATCCCCCTTCCTGAATAACCCGCGGAAGATTATCATCCAGGCGGAGGTTTTCACGTCAGGGATCGTATTGCTGCTGCTCCTGCAGCTCATCCTCGGTTCCTTCAGACGGCAGTCGACCAACTTCTTGGTTCAAGCTGGTGCGTGGGTGACCTACACTGTGTCGTTCCCAGCTATCGCCTTCACCCTGGGCTTGATGCAGTCCTCTCCGGTGAGGAATGTCATGTATCCCTTTTGGGCCACCTCATTGCTGATGGCCGCTGGGTGCACCAACGCCATCAAGGTCTATGAGCTCAACGACAACAGGCAATGGAAGCGGAGGCTTTTCAGTTTTCTGCAGTATGGCTTCTATGTTTCATTAATCTTGAGGCTAGTTTCTTCCTATAACACCAAACAAGCGGATTATCTCCAACAACTCTCCCACAGCCTTGCACTTTTTAAGTCTCCTGTGACTGTTCTCTATGCTCTGGTTACCATTGCCATATTTACAGGAATCATGGGTAGAGAGTTTGCATGTGTGTTGGTTGAGGTTGGCTATTTCATGGCCAGAGGAGTTGCCAAGTTCATGAAGAACCTGTCTGCTGATGATGGCGATGGGTTCGATCCTGCCACCATGAAAGGCTACAAGTACCCTGTTCAAATGAATGGACCTTTTGGTCGTGTCACCATCGACCAGATCTGGCACTGTGAAGGCAGGCTCCTCAGATCAGGTACTGTTCACTGCAAGGAGCTCAAGGACTTGTGTCTGGCTAAAGAGTGCAGCTTTTCTAAGGTGAGGCGCATTGTACCCACTATCTGAACCATGCAATTGCGTTGAGATGTGTGTCTGGTACTAGACGTGGCACAGAGATTAGAGACCTATGTCTGACATGGTTGTCTCATCTGTGTTTGTCGACCCGTGACTCAAAGCGATATCTCTCCCCACGTCCTTTCTCTTAAAAGCTTGTCACATGCAAATGGAATCTGCATGCACATGCACAAGCAGCTCTCTCTTATAGTACTATACAGTCTCTCTCTCACTTGCAGACCGATGACTTTGTTCTTGACCTGCTAAAAAAGATCATCTCTCTCATCTCACAAAATAAGAGCTCTTTTACCGAAAGTACCATTCTACACCCAGGAGCAAATGCTCCTGTGTGAATAGTAAAATCAGAAAAATAGAAAAAAATTTAAAAATTTCTGAAATTTTTTTGTGACATACTTTCACAAGTGTTTCTTGTGCATGAAAATTTTCATCATGAAATCACATTCGTGGAAGTCGTGTAAAAAACACAAAATCAAAGCTTCAAAATGCTTTTGTAAGTAACATTTTCAGAGCATCGATTTTGTTTTTTTACCACACCTTCCACCAATGTGATTTCGCGATGAAATTTTACGTGCACAACAAACATTTGTATAAGTATGCCATAAAAAAATTCAGAATTTTTTGACATTTTTTGATTAATTTTTATTTTACTGTTCACACCAGGAGCATTTGCTCCTGGGTGTAAAAACTCCACTTCCCTCTCTTACACGAACGTTGTGTTTTTAAATCCTACAAGAAAAAACTTATTTCTCCGAATCCCTCACACAGCTTCTGTCAACACTTCTCTCTCTAGAATTTGGCTCTATTTTTCTATCTCAGGTCAGCTGCAGCAGGATGCACTATTCCTTCTTTTCCTATTGGGGGAGCAGTGCATGTGAGACAACAAAACGACCAGCCACTGTGCACGCAGCAGCCTACTGCCTAGAAACGTACCAGCTATGCCCTACTACTGCCTACCTAGACTGCTTAACTGGTGTACTAGTGCTAAGTACCGTGTATGGCTCCAAAAAGTGTTGTCACAAGCACGAATCTTGGAGAAGCTGAGCGGATGAGATAGAGGGGTGCAGTGCGCTCGACCTCAGCTACAACTTTCCCCTGGCTAAAGCCATGTGTGAGCTATTGAAGTGGCGCTACTATGGCTTGTCATTCGCCGAGGAACACCTTAACGAAACCCGTGATTTTGTCTTCAAGGGGTTGCTACAGAAACAAGATGACTATAAGAGAGCTTTCCGTATTGTTGAAATGGAGCTGGGCTTCTTCCATGACTTCTTTTTTACTAAACATGCCATCATCTTTGAGCTGGAGGCAGCATTCTTCCTTCTCTTCATTATGAGGATTGTTCTCATTGCGACATGTGTATCCTTTGTCGTGCAGAGTACACTATCTGTCAATACGATGAGCCCTATCATTGAAGTGCACACCGGAAGGGCTGAAGAGATCATCACTCTCTTTGTTTTGGCCACATTCCTCCTCATAGAAATTCTTCAAGCAACATTTTATTTGGCCTCGGATTGGTGCAAGGTGTCAGTTACTTGTAGGTATGTCAAAAGATCTTGGTGTCACCACAATGCTTTCATTCAGAAGCTTGTCGGATATATTAGCAGATTTGCCATTTTCGGGTACTTGAAGAATAAGATTGGCCAGTACTCGATAATTCCGCGTATGACTGCTGGTGATTCGTTTGGGGACAGTAGTCACCCAGTAAACATGTTGCAAACAGTCAAGCGGGCTATTGCTAGCTCCCTAATATCATGTGATGGTCGACCAACTAATGGAGAAGGGTCATTAGAGGGGAAGGGTGTGCTCTTGGAGTTTTCTTGGGCATTGCAGGGTCAATCTCAAACAGAGACCATGTTAATTTGGAGCATCGCCACTGATTACTGCCATATGACTCCCCCTACCGGGGATGGGGAGCACGTGAATGGGGCGTCTGAAAATGAACAAGACACAAAGGTGAACAGGACTGTATCAGTCTGCCTGTCAAGATATTGCACGTACTTGATGAACTCTGCCCCAGAACTGCTTCCAGGACACTTTGGAGATACAAAGTTGGCCATGTCTGAAGTAAAACGTGAAGCATACAAAGCTCTAAGATCCCAGAATGTTTCTTCCAGACCAGGCTTAACATCCCAGAATGTTAATTCTGAATCGGGCGATTGGAGCTTCATACTCAAGCATATTTTAGACAGTAATGATGTTGAACTGCCAGCCTTTGTATCAATTGCTGCATCCCAGAAAATTTACCAGGTTATGAATGGTTTACAAGACCAAGGGGCAGACAGGAGCATCTTCATGAGAGGTGTGAAGCTTGGTAAGCAGCTAGAGGCCATATCGAGCAGTGCTCTTCGCTGGAAGATAATGGCGGATTTCTGGGCTGAGAAGATCCTCTACATCGCACCATCAGACAATGTTAAAGGACACATGGAACTTCTCGCAAAAGGAGGAGAGTTTCTCACCCACATCTGGGTCCTCCTTACTCATGCTGGCATCCTCAAGATTAACAGGGAGGAAGACAACAACACAACGCCCAGGCGTCAGCGCCAACCACCCCAAGGAGATGTGTAGTAATTTCAGTTCTAGCTGCTTGCTTTCATGTACCTCTATCGTGATGTTCTACTCTTGAAAACCTTTATTATTTCTGCTGCATTGTATCAAGTGTAATACTATATCCCAGTGGTGCTCGATCGTCATCTGCACTATTATTGTTGTATCATTTCAAAATTGCCATATGCAAAAGCCGTCATGTAATAAACTATTAATTGTCAGTGGAATTTTTGCGTCATCTGCACTATTATTGTTGTATCATTTCAGAATTGTCATATATAGAAATAGTGACGTTTTATTGGTTTGTGTGGAAGTTGTGTTATTCTGCTGGCCTTGTTAGGGCGCATGTGACAGCACCGTGCGTCAAGTTACTCTGATGCAGCTAGCCAAGGATGATGATGCTAATGTCATGGTGAAATTTTTTATGAGATGCTTGTTGAGACTGAATGGTACTATTACTAAGGATCATTGTCAGTTGCTCTGAAGTCAGGACAAGAAGCACCACAGCAAGGCTTGCAGGAATCAGGTGCGATGTGCACCTCAATGTAGCAGTTCCAAAAACGCTCATCTAGCTTAAAGATCACTTATTCTTGCACAGTACGATCATATTCTAGGGCTGACATGTGGCCAACTATCACATGCCCCATGCATCCATTGAAAAACGAATCTAAATGCTTTGAAAAAATCCAAAACATGTGAATGTTCATAAGACACGTGTTTACCACCCCTACAAAATTCAGATCCAAATAGGAAATATACATTTGAGAAACTAAAAAGACAAATCCAAATGCGAATAATGTCATTTATGCTTGTCTTTTTGCGACATTAATCATGCTGGGTTTGCATCTCTTTTTTTTAGTTTCTCCATGTATATTTCTAATTTAGGTCTGAAATTTTTAGGGGATGTAACTGCATGTCTTGTGCACCCTCACAAAAAAAATCGGAATGCTTCGAGACAATTGAACTGGTTTTTTGAAAGTTGTGATCATGGGAGCATTTAAGGGGCGGTATCACCTGATATTCCCAGCTGACACGGCCTTGCCCTGCTCCACGAGCATCCCTATCAAAGCTCAGAGCTGGAGAAAGGCCAAACATGCCCTAGATTTCAAGAGACAAGAGCATTGCAACGGCCACAAGGCTCCTCAACTTTTAACTCGACGGTTGAGGGAACTTTCCCCAAAATATATCTTTCCACCGCCAAGAGAGCTTTATGGGCTTCCATCATCATACCCCTACTCATCGGGAGACATTTACCATTATTGTTGTAGGAACACAAAATCTCACCATTGTAACAGGTGCTCAGTTTAAGGCACTTAAGCAGCTTTGAATTCTCAAGAATATGGCATGTCAGCTCAACCATGCTCTTCGCAGAACAAAAACCAATGATCTGCACATCCTTGATGTTCCTATGCATGTGTCCTGGCATCTTCCTTAGATCATGAAAAGAATATCCTAAACCTGATTCTTGCTCCATGCAATCCGGCTCTGCCTGCATTGTATATAGATGTCAATGTCAATAATAACGGTGAAACGACAAAACATATACTTTGAAGTAATGCATGGTCCCACCACAGAGATATAGTGCTATTCTGAGCTAGAGCGTAAAATAGTTATTCTACAACCTAGTGAAACTGTGCACAAATGTAGTAGAACAGTGTAGTACTACATTTTGCACTCCCTCGCTCCCTCCCTCTATAGACAATATGGCAGGATGAACATGACTTACAGACAATATGAAAGTCTCCAAGGAAGGACAAGCATCAAGAAAAGAAACCAGAGAGAGATAATCATAGTCTGGGGTAAATGCCCCAATACACAGATGCTGGAGGTGGAGGAATTTGCCGGGTACCACCAGTATATCCCTCTGCACAAAAATGCTTCATATTAAAATCCCAGGAAAAATGCAGGTTGCAACTGTTTGTTGCACGATGTTGGTATCTAATAGTCTGAAGTACTATAAGAATATTACCACATAAGACGAATGTATGTTAAGAGCTTCAAGATTTGGCACCATGCATGGAAGTTTGGCACCAGCATAATGAATAACGTCCCACCCTGAAGCATCAATGTCAAGGTTTTGCAATGAAACACCAAGTGATAGTCGTACCAGGGCACCACTATATTCAAAACTGTAGAGATAAGGGGCCTTATTCTTTATCACTTCCAGATTTAAGCAGTCGTGGACAACCAGGTGGCTAAGCCGCTGCAGCAGGCTAGGTATCTCCAGGAAAATCAACTCATGGCAATACACTAGTGTCAATTTCTCCAAAGCAACTGAACTGGAAAGAAGGCACATTAACTCATCCCCTGTAATATGCATATCATACAGTTCCAAACTAGTCAGGCTTCTTAAGAAGCCAACTCCAGCCGTGGGACGGAAGGCACATTCACCGAGATGAAGGTGCCGAATCGACTTGCCACTCCCATCAAGTAAAAGTGTGCATGGGAAGTTGTACACGTCCGCATGAGATGAATAAAGCCGCAGGTAAAGTTCTTCAATCCCTGGTCTAACGGCAATACCAAGCCAACGATTGAGATCATCACGTGAGGTGCTGAAAAAGGGAAATTCACGTATTTCAAGTTTGAGTGCCTTCACGCCAACGCCTGAGTGGTTTTTCAGAATGTGTTCAGTTCTCTTTGCAAGATCAAGCGCTATTTTAGATGATATTTCGTCGACCCCGCCTTTCAAACCCAGTGTTTCCCTAGTTAAGCTGAGATTGGGAAAACATCTCCAAGAACGTCGAAACGAATGAGACACGCAGGCAACGCGTGCAGCATCTCGTAGAGGAAGCAGAGAATGTATATGATGCCATACGGCCTGCATGGACGAGCATTGGGGAAAAATTTCAGCATAGGAACTGTAAAGGCAGATGATTGCTTTCAATTTGGGAAGGGAAAATAGAACCATATGAAGTAACACTGACAATATGGTAGTTATATCTGAACATTGAAATGTCCACACTCCACAAGATCATGTAAAAGAATTCAACAGCTTTAGCAGTTACAGTGAAAGTACATGACATTAACATTGGTAACTAAGATGACAGGATAACAGATTGGACAGAGCAGATCATATGGCACTCTACACAACTACTATAAGAATATATGCATTTCAATTCTATAACTTCTTGCTGATCTAGGAAGCACTATAATGAAATGAATATTTGTTTCAACCCTATAACTTTTTAACGGAACTCAGAAGCACTATAATGAAATGAAGGCATGTCAATCCTGTGACCTTTTTACTAGAATTAGGAAGCACTATAATGTAATCAAGGCCCGTCTGAACTATGAAGACAAGAAAAGCATTCAGAGGTAGTTGAGCAACTTACATATGATATATATTTTTTTTCTTGTGGAAACTAAGAGCCTACTCGATGTTTCCATGTCAAATTTGGGGCAAGCCAAAAGAATTGTCCCACTTGGGCTGACTTTAAAATTTGCCAAATGCCCATGCTTTTACACTCACATATGGCAGGCCGCAAATTTTATCCCCATATGGCTTGCCAATTTTGGGCATTATTATAACACTAAGACAGACACTGGATATTGACCACAATCACAGGGGAAGAAGTACAAGCAACTACTAAGGGGATAGCAATATGAATTTAGGAAGTCTACTCATACTCAAGTAATATTTTTACTTAGGCATTGATTCACAATTTTCTGCAGCTAGAACAGTGACAGCATATATTGCAATATAAGTTACTAATTCTTGGCAATTAACGGTGAACCTCTGGAAGGCTTGGTCCTGAGTATCTCAATTTTTTATCACTCCGGGAATTGTCATCATGCGAGCCCTTCCTTTTAGCAACCGAAGTCACCGATCCCTCTGCAACACATGATGCATTGGTTAGAATAACAGAGATACTGATGGAAGAGAACAACAGGCACAGGTACAAACACAGGGACAAGCCTTATTTCTCTCCATTATCCAACTTCTCCCCGAGATCACCAACTTAAGAAGAACCAAAATTGTTTCAGTATAAGAATAAGAATTCAGTTAACCATTAGTACATTTGCAAAAGGTTGCACTTGCAATGCCCCCCTAGGTCTCTTGAATCTCCATTACCCCTACGCTTTCACGAAGCATGCCATGTTCAAAACTCTTGTTTTGGTCTCTTGACAGACCGAGACAGACACAGATAATTCTTTTTTTTCCAGAAAAAAAAACCTGTAAACAGCAGACACAGTAAAAAAGTACTCCCTTCGATCCATACCAATTGCCGCTGATTTTTTACAATAGTACATTGATTGTCGCATGTACTTACTATTGTACTAAATCGGCGACAATTAATATGGATTGGAGGGAGTACTTCTTTTTTCCTTCAACCAAAAAACATGTAACCGTCGAACAGGCTACAGATTATCATCTCAGAAAAAGGCAGAAGGAATAGGTGGCTTACTGCGGCCTTGAGTTGGCCGGCGATGCCGACCCCGCTGCATAGACATGAGCTGATTGAATGCCAGCAGCCCCATGATGCGACGACGCCAGATAAGCCGGAGCGATGCTTTCTCTCTCTCCCGGTCGGCTGCTCTGTTTATGTGCAGGCGGCACGTCGAGCTTAATACGTATTCCAACTTGAACTGAATCCAAGAGTCCGAGGCGGGAGGGGAATCGCGTCGGCGCCGCCGCGGAGGGGCAGCCTAACCAAACACGACACGGGAGCAAAGCGGGACTGACAAGACTCCCTTCCCTTTACCACGCATCATAGACTGGGATCAGGTGACATGCCTCTTGGCACTTGGCAGTCACATGCGGCCAGCCATCCAGCGTTCCTTCTCCATCCAATGGCCATCAGCGAAAATGAAAAAAGCCAACACTGACAGTTTTTAGGGTATGTTTGGTTGGAGTCCACACCATTGCAAGCCTGGCCTGGCCAGTGCCTTGGTTCTTGCCTGGCCTTTGTTTGGTTAGTGGCCTGGCGCAAAAATAGATTGCCTGGCCTGGCTGTCCCTAGTAGCCTTGTTAGCCTGGTCCGATTAAGAATTCGAATAAGGCCATGTTTGATTCATAAGTTCTAGAACTTTTTTTAGTCCCAACTAAAAAGTCGCTAGTCTCTAAAAGGTCCTTCGTTCCTTGGACCATGTTACAACTAAAAGTCCTAAAAAGACTCTCCCTCGGAGTCTTCTTTCATAAGTCTCAAATGCCCACTTTAAGTCCCTATAAATCCCTTCTGTTTGGTTTAGATGGGACTAAAAGGGACTTTTTTAAGTCCCTACACCAATAAGTCCCTGTAAACAAACACCCTCTAAAATAATATATCCAGCCCAGGCAGTGTCATCAGCCTGGCCCAGCGTTCGATTTTTCACGGCTGGCTGTGTGCGAGTACTAAGCAAGGGACGACAGTAGCATTAGATACCCTTTAAACACAAAAGACAAATCAGCAGGCAAGGAAGGGAACCAAACGCGCATGCACCAGGCTAGCCTGCCAGGCAAAAACTAAAGGAGATATGCCCTAGAGGCAATAATAAAGTTATTGTTTATTTTCTTATTTCATGATAAATGTTTATTATTCATGCTAGAATTGTATTAACTGGAAACTTAGTACATATGTGAATACATAGACAAACAGAGTGTCACTAGTATGCCTCTACTTGACTAGCTCGTTGAATCAAAGATGGTTAAGTTTCCTAGCCATAGACATGAGTTTTCATTTGATTAACGAGATCTCATCATTAGAGAATGATGTGATTGACTTGACCCATTCCGTTAGCTTAGCACTCAATCGTTTAGTATATTGCTATTGCTTTCTTCATGACTTATACATGTTCCTATGACTATGAGATTATGCAACTCCCGAATACCGGAGGAACACTTTGTGTGCTACCAAACGTCACAACGTAACTGGGTAATTATAAAGGTGCTCTACAGGTGTCTCCGATGGTACTTGTTGAGTTGGCATAGATCAAGATTAGGATTTGTCACTCCGATTGTTGGAGAGGTATCTCTGTGCCCTCTCGGTAATGCACATCACTATAAGCCTTGCAAGCAATGTGACTAATGAGTTAGTTGCGGGATGATGTATTACGGAACGAGTAAAGAGACTTGCCGGTTACGAGATTGAGCTAGGTATTTAGATACCGACGATCGAATCTCGGGCAAGTAACATAACGATGACAAAGTAAACAACGTATGTTGTTATGCGGTTTGACTGATAAAGATCTTCGCAGAATATGTAGGAGCCAATATGAGCATCCAGGTTCCGCTATTGATTATTGACCAGAGACATGTCTCGGTCATGTCTACATAGTTCTCGAACCCGTAGGGTCCGCACGCTTAACGTTCGATGACGATCGGTATTATGAGTTTATGTGTTTTGATGTGCCGAAGGTAGTTCGGAGTCCCGGATGAGATCGGGGACATGACGAGGAGTCTCTAAATGGTCGAGACGTAAAGATCGATATATTGTACGACTATATTCAGACATCAAAAAGGTTTCGAGTGATTCAGGTATTTATCGGAGTACCGGAGAGTTATGAGAATTCGCCGGGGAGTGTATGTGCCTTATTGGGCCTTAGTGGAATAGAGGAGGAGGAAGCCTAGGAGGGGGTGCCCCCCCAAGCCCAATCCGAATTGGGTGAGGGGGCCGGCCCCCCTTTCCTTCTTCTCTCCCTCCTCTTTCCTACCTCTCCTAGTCCAACTTGGAAGGGGGGAATCCTACTCGCGGTGGGGGTAGGACTCTCCTATGGCGCGCCCAAGAGAGGGCCGGCCCTCCCCCTCCTCTACTCCTTTATATACGGAGGAGGGGGGCACCGCATGGACACACAAGTTGATCATTGATCTTTAGCCGTGTGCGGTGCCCCCCTCCACCATAATCCACCTCGGTCGTAGCGGTGCTTAGGCGAAGCCTTGCGCCGGTAGCTTCATCAACACCGTCATCACGCCGTTGTGCTGACGGAACTCTCCCTCGAAGCTCTACTGGATCGTGAGTTCGTGGGATGTCACCGAGCTGAACGTGTGCAGATTGCGGAGGTGTCGTACGTTCGGTCCTAGGATCGGTCGATCATGAAGACGTACGACTACATCAACTGCGTTGTCATAACGCTTCCGCTTATGGTCTACGAGGGTATGTGAACGACACTCTCCCCTCTCGTTGCTATGCATCACCATGATCTTGCGTGTGCGTATGAATTTTTTTGAAATTACTACGTTCCCCAACAAAAACATGCGTCATCCCAAGCTTCATCCAGGCACTATTTCTTCCCAGGCACATTGTCCATGCTTTCAACCAAACAGGCCCTTAGCCTGGACAGGCAACAACCGAGAACTGAAAACCGATTTATACTGTTGTTCTTTTACAGGACAAGCTGAACGTGCAAGGACATCAAAGAACTGAAAACTGAAAAATGTAGTAGTAACACCTGTCATTACAATTCATAAGTAATTAGCATAGAAATTATGTAGCCAAATCAAGCACACACGTGTATCAGCTCTAAACCTATGCATGCATGCACATGTGTATATCAGCCAGATCAAGCACACATCTATTCATCATGCCATCAGCTGCCCATTAGAGAAGTCAAAAATGATCTTCAGGCCATCCATCACATATGCATGCTTTGACCATGCCCCGCTACTCTTCCAGGGATCGTCTCACGACAGAGTTACGCGCTCCTTCAAGTTTGAGGAGTTTTGGTTGCACCTCCCTGGTTTCAAGGAAACGGTGGCCTCGGCCTGGGACAAAAGCATCCGTGCTATGGACACCATCAGGCGCATTCAGGGAGACGTCAATTCCAAGCTTTTCCATGCCAGGGTCAATGGCCGGCGACGAAAGAATTTCATCCAGACACCGCAATCACTAGAGAGGACAAGGAGAGTGTCCTTTACACTCTCTTCCAAACCTCAACTTTCAGGCCCATGACTTGACCGACCTCGATGCCCCTTTTGATGAGCTGGAGATCAAAAACACGGTTTTTTCCTTGCCTTCGGTCAAGGCTCCGGGCCGGATGGTTTTATTGGGGATTTCTTCAAGTCCTGTTGGGGAATCATCAAGTATGACGTGGTGGCGGCAATCTTGCAATTGGCAAGCCTTAGGGGCCCTTCAGTTCTTGGCCCCAAAGCTCTACAAGATAGTTTCCAGGAAAAACAGAACAGTGCACCATGAGCTTTCCGACGAAAACTGGATCAGAGCAGTGGCTAGACTGTAGACTTTGCAATAATTGGGGAGTACGTATACCTATGGGAGTGGCTTAGTCAGCTTTAGCTCAGCCCCCAACTAGGCGGATTCCATTTCTTGGAAGTTGACCACTGATGGCATTTACTCTGCGACATCCGCCTATGTAGGCCCTGTTTGGATCCCTCAGTTAGAGTTAGATTGAGTTAGTTTTGCCTGAACTAACTCTAAAGGATTCAAACACATGGGTTAGTTTCAGCTAGTTGGATCTAACCCATGTGAAAAAACTATCCCGGGCGAGAGGTGCTAGTTGGGTTAGATTTTCTAGGGCCCACTGAAAGAACAACTAAAAAAATCTCCCTCCCGCATCAGATCCTTCCCTCCCGTACCGCCCCTCCGCGACTCCTCTCCCGTTCCCCATCGCACCCCCCGCCCAAGCGCCGCGCCGCCAGCCCGAGCGCCGCGCCGCCGGAACCCCAGGCGCACCCTCCTCCGGCCGGCGCTCGCCCTCCTCCCTCGTCCCCGGTCGTCTCTCTCCCTCTCTGTCGTCCGAGGCGGCGCATCTACCGGGGATCCAGCGAAGGTGAGTTCGTTCGTCCTTCTGTACTCGTGTTCTCCCTCGTCCTACACGCTCGTCTCTCTAGCTAGCAACGGCTCGTGGCCGGGATTTGAGCTGGCTGGGCGGCTGGATCCGTTGGAGCCGGACACAGGGGCTTGGGTGGAGTGAGTGGCCGGTGATTAAGGACTAGGCGGCGGCTGTGCACATGTGGCTGGTGCATGCATGAGCAAGTCAGCAAGAGTAGTCTGCCCTCCTTCTCTCCATAGGAAATTTCTTGCTGTTCCAGATTCTTGCATGCTAATTTGTTGGCAGAACTTCTGATTAGGTAATAGCTAGATTTTGTACTATTTTTGGTTAACAGAACGGGCGGTGATGGTTAAAAGAAAACCATCGATGCATTTTACATAAGAGAGAAAGTTATGTGAAGAACATTAACTGAATCAGAACACCCTGTTCAGCCTCCTCTTTTGTTGCAGATGTTCTTGTGCAAATTTAGAGCATTAAGAAACGAAGAGTTGATCTATATAGTGTGATCAACTCAATACTTCATCATTAAATAATATTTTGGTACAATTTCATTTTCTGGGTGCGATACTGAATCTTCTCTTCTGGTGCAGGTAGTATAGCTTGGAGCAAAGCACCCGCGATGGATGGAGACGGCTTCGATATGTGGGATTCGCAGCCGAGTTAGCTTGGAGCAGAGCACCCTGGAGTGATATTTTTTTATGAAACTTGATTGACGATTTGTATGTTTAAGTGCGACATCTCATTTGTAT